ATTTACAAAAAAGTGTGATTTTCTCTGATGACAGACACACACTTCTGTTTATTTTCGTTTTCCATCTTAAGTAGTGACTTATACATTTTTAGCAAAACTTGGAAAATTTAAAGCATATTTTATGAAAATAAATGCAGTTTTTGTAATTTGAACCATTAAAATTGTGCGAGTGGAAACACGTTAATCTAAGTATCAATTAAACTAGTCTGTGACGTCATCTCAGTCAGTACAGCAAGATCAAGGTGGCTTTAATTCTACATTCAAAAAGTGTTATAATGACAAGTTAAGTTATTCATTAAATTATGTTTACAATATTTATGAGAATTGACTGTATGTAAGAGTGTATGAAAAAAATAGTATTTATTCCCTGAGATTTATTCGTACAGTTTTACTGTGACGTCATCATCGATTTCTCAAAGCTTTGCATAGACTGACGTACCTATGAGAGTCCTTAAACTAGCTGTGTCAGCTTTTGGTAACCTTAAGATTTTTTGCGAACGTATACAAAGTACATGGTACTTTAACGGCAAAGTGTTTGGATGGCGAAGGATATAGGCGACGATTCGACAACCTTGACAGTGTGTCTGACAAACTTAGATAGGACGACTTATGCTTAAACAGCTGGAGTCCGAAATAACTTCATAACTTTTAAGATTGGGATCAGGAAACAGTAAGCTTTGTGATCAGGTTTGACTGACGTGAGAAAGAATACGAAAGTGTGGGACAATATGGTATACGTGTGAAGATTATCCACATTTTCTTTTGCTTTGTTGCTTATTTCTCCAAAAGCTATATACTACAGTCGACACCCGCTTAGAACTCTGTTTAAGTATTATTCTTTCAATTTGTATCAGACTTAATGTCAAAGTACATAAGTACCCTTAGTCCCAACCTATCAATCCGGAAAATTTAGCTCCGTTTACATACACTAGTCTAATACTTAGTTGTTTCCTCCTCTTCCTTTGTCGATAAATCGATAAAACGGTAAGGTCATGGAAAATTTTGTGAAGTTGAATTGTTGCAATGTTTTAATTTTCGTAATGAAATAAGTTTGATTTCATGAGTAACTATCATGGTTTGTGATTTCTAGTCAAATAAGACATGCCGATGGTGCAATTAAATTTTACTTTGGATTTGGCCCGAGATTTTTTACTATCAAACGTCGACTATTTTTTATAATCGGTTGAATTTACACAATATGGTATAATTTGAATGATGGATAACAGCAATATTAAACATATGGTAGTCAAGGGATGGTTTAATGTAAGCAATTTTTTAAGGAGTAAAAAGTAAACGATTCCCGATTCGCTTTTGCTTTGGGGGGGGGGGGGGGGTTAAAGCGCAAAAATATTAAGTCAGGCATACTTATCCGTTTTAAGCTTTGTTTTCCAATGTTATGAAGCCTGAAGAAGGTAATTAGTATTTATTCAATTCAATAGTCTTTAAATGGCCTTCACACGAATATTGCGTCACTTTCACTTCTGCAGTAATCAAAGTACTGAAAGTACCGAAAGGATGTTGGTGAATATCATCATTGTTATGAGTCATTTGCAGTTTGGTATCGTTTCATTTGTTTGCTTGTCTATGGGAACATTTTAAGAAAATGCATAAAGGCATACACGAAGAATATTTTAACAATTTTTTTAAGGGGGGGGGGGTGTCTGGAACTGAGGATACTTAATGGTTAACCATGGGAACTGTTGTTGTCCACCTGGTCAATGACTATAAAAAATACAATTTTAGAGTTTTTTGAATGAGATTTTTGTCTCAGGGCGACAAAGGTTCTAGCACAAGAAGCTGTAGAATTTGGTTTCATAAATTGTAGAGTAAAACAGCAATAATTAATCATTCATATGCCTTAGAATAGAAATGCTGGGTTCAGCCACAAAAAAGTAGCAAATTATATTAGTACAAGGCGTATGAGTCGCATAAGGGTAAGAAGCCGTTACTACTATCTCAGGATGTCTTTAGATTCATACTGGTCCTTTAAAAATGAAACTAAACTTCACAAATTGTTGAGAAATCAATCAACCTGCTCAGATTGAGTTTGCGTTAGCTTCCTAGAATTGACTGGGATGCAAATAAAAGCTTGTAAATAAGCATTTAAATAGAAATATTAATCATTTCAATTTCTAATAGGACTACATTCTCTACCCTTAAATGTCGTAATACTCTCATTACTGACATATTAAAGCATTTTATTGTCAAAAAGCATTGCCCAGGAGAAACAAAATTCATTAACTAAGCAGTTCTTAATTAACAAAGATTGCATTGGGGGAAAGAAACTTTTAAATAAAAATTAAAATAATAGATATTAAATACTGGGGTGGAAAGATGTACGAAAACAGTAGAAATAGAATGACAATTAAAAAAAAATTAATAAATAAAAAATAATTAAAAAATAGATAAATAAAAAAAAATAGAAAAAAATAATAAATAAAATAAAATAAAATATTTTCAATTAATTCTTTTAATTAATTTAAATGAAGGGAAATAATTCTTACCAAAATTTAAGGTCATACATTAGGACACATTCCGCCCTTACATGCTAATGGTAATAAATGAGAGTTATGACGAAATAAGTATTTAACAGTAACACATCTGTAATCTATTCAATGTCACACACCTACAACATACTCCAGACTCTATATTCTCAGATATTTAACTTTATTTCATCATTCAAAATTGTTGTACATTGACCAATCCATTTTCATTAACACATAGGTATGTCCATTGCCCACCAACTTATCTGAACTATTTTGCATCTGTGAATGATGGTATATGAAGCATTGTAGAAGGAAGTGTCAAGTAACATAAACCAACTAAAAAGCCAAGTAAAGACATATATTTGCTTGCTTATTGTCATGAATTACAACCTGTTTCAGAGTACATAATCCTCAAAATTCAATTGCCAAAATTTAATGTAGAGTATTTTATATTGTAGTTTTGCACCAAAACAAAAAAATCAACAGATTGATCTTGAGTCTGCATCACAAAATTCCTTAATTTTTTTAATAATCATAATAACTCTTAAATGATTTTATTATGCCGATTTGTATTGGATATGATAATATCTAAGGTTTGTAAGGTAACATAATTGATAAGGCACATGTTTTATCATGATTGATCAAAATAAGTTTTACAAAGCAGTCTTTGGGACAGTATACCCTAATTTTAGAAATATCAAGTTTTACCAAAATTCTTGGCAAATTTTAAAAATAAAAATATATAAAGAATCATGCTATCTTGAAATGAATTATACATGTATCTAAAGTAAATTTATATTAAAATAAAAGCAATTCCTTTTTAGCGTTAAGGCATTTAAGAATTGTGTGAATCACTCTGTATGTCAGCATACAATGACCTAGCTTGAGGTAATCAAACCTGCAGATGGCAAATATTAAATTCCGCATGAATATAACAATATACCGAATTCCATAAGCTCAACAATCTCAAGTAAACATAACAAAGACATGCATTAAATAATTTAAGCCAGATTCGTTTAAGTTAGGATCTACCTTAATTACCAAATATACATTTACTAGGTTTAATGTACATTGATACACTGATAAGAGAGATAACTCTTAATGACACAAATGTCTATTATTCCTTTATAAATTTTTCAAGTTAAAGAGCCTTTTTTGTCAAATTTTGCCCGGCAAAACATGCTTTAATTGTTTGTATTTAATTCAGCATATACATTTCCTTTGGAAAATCATAAAAGTTAAAAGAAAAATTTGATATGAATAAGCAGAAGGTTTATGAACGTTAACGTTAAGGGCGTAAGCTTGATATAAATTACTATTACCATTTTTCTGAGATAAAACTATTCTCTTCGAACCATTTTTTTTGGTCAACATTCTTACAATTCTTGTTTTTGTTTTATTTAACTGAGTTAAATTGTCCTGTTGACAAGATGCAATATAAATCTATAAGATACGGTTCCTTTAATTGAAGATTTATATGAGAGGTTGAATGGGACGATCGGTTCAACTCCCTTTTAACAGAAATTGCGGGTGGGTTTAGACAGTATTGGATACTTTAAAAAATATATTTGTCATTTTTGTAGGATACATATTAAATCTTGCTCACTTCAATTAAGGTAGCAAATACTACACATTTCCCATCAGAATGCAACAGGGGAGGACGAGGTTACTTGTATTATTATAATTTTGAAAATTGCTGCCTTTCAAAAGCATTTCGTTTATACATTGTACATTAGTAAATGTATTACCATGTGTTCACCTATTTTTACACTCTTTTCTGGTATTCTAATTTTTTCCCTATTACTAATCGATTGTTGGTTCATAAATTGTGAAGTACTAAAGAAGGGTTTGAATTTATATAGATAAGTATATTAAGGGATCGGTGGGGGGGGGGGGGGGATAAGGACACACATTGTTATTGTTAAAAGTTGTTATAAGTATCTTAGTACTTTAAGCTAAGAGGTCACAGTATCTTTTCCTTGTCCAATTTCTGTATGACATTTGGGTTTGTTTCAGTACAGAATCCTTTCAGACAACTATAAGCAACACTTGCAAAGATAGTTATATTTTGTCTAAGTTCTATATTACTTTGTCACGCAAGGAAACTTGGTAAGATGTGTATTAATGATTTAAAAGCCATATAAAGAGTGACAGCCTTTTAGGTAAATTATACAAGTAACCAACGGAAAAATACAGTGTCGTTTAGTATCAACAATGTTAGAGAAAATAGACGTTGTTTTATACGGACACGTCATTGGCTCCGTTTGTAAAACTTGTGTAATCACTTATTCTGTAAATTTTTATTGGTGAATGAGCAGGCCCTGTTCGACGGTGACCATTTGCGTTGAGGTACTGCCGCCGTCACCATGGTTCTTGGCACCCCATTGGTGGCGGTTGCAGTTCCATGATTACTCGTAGTAGACACGAGTAGTCATGGCCCTTGCAAGTGGCGTATTCCGTCGCACCTCAACGCAACTGGACGAGTGCAACACATATTCTTACGCTCATTCCATTGTTTATTGACTTGATTGATATTTGAATTGATTGATTGATTAATAATTGATTGATTGACAAGTAATTGACTTGATTGATATTTGAATTGATTGATTGACTGATTGATTAATAATTGATTGATTGAATTTGATTGATTATTGCATTGGTGACGTTCATGCACTTGTGACCTACCCAGTGCATGATCCGCCCGATTTGGGTCGTCACATTTGTTTTATTGATTGTTGATTGTGGGGCAGCCCTGTGGTAGCCCCAGTAAATTGATCACCGCGGCCAGAAGCGCCACATTAAACGAACAAAATAACATCCATATTGTTTGTTTGATTTATAGGGAATCTGAAATAATACCACTTATACGAGCATGGTCTCGGATATGTGAGTTTATTTCAGTAACCCTACGTCCTTCCATTCCGGATATTTTAAGTCCTTACAGATATATAATTATATGTACCCTTAGTCCCAACTTATCAATCCGGAAAATTTAGGTCCATTTACATACACTAGTCTAATACTTAGTTGTTTCCTCCTCTTCCGATTTCTGAAGGGTTTTTTCTTCACTTTTAAATAAAGTATTAATTAAAGTCTTGTGTTAAAGTCCGTTTTTTACTGTTATTTATCACAAAATGCCGTATACAATTTAAATTTTTTACTCCTTTTTACTCTCCTTTTGGTATAACAAGCCCGTATGTTTGTTTCAGTCAAAAACCATGCATGATCGTTTTATAAATAATTCTTTTGTCCCGACTCGATGGGCGGAGTATTAGAAAAGTGTGGGTTATGTACAGAAAACCCACACTTTTAACAAAAGAAATCACACCTAATTATGGTACAATAATGAAAAGGAAGTAGCAGAAGTGCTTCAAAATATGAAAAATAACAAATCACCTGGTAGTGGTGGTTACACGGTTGATTTTTTACATTCTTTTGAAACGATTTAAAAACTTATTTATCAACGGCTATCAAATGTATTTTCATTAATAACGAGCTCCAAATATCACAAAAATTATGTATAATCCCATGTATTCCAAAAATCGATAAACCTAGACAGTTTCTAAAAAGAATGGCACCCAATTTCACTTTTAAATATAGTATATAAAATGATATCAGGATGTCTTGCACAAAGAATTAAAATAACATTAGATTATTTATTATCAGAAGGGGTAGTGGTCTTACTGGGGTTGGAAGAGGTGTGGAATTGATTAGATTTTGTCCTATCTTTAACACAGCATTTTGTTCGGGGATGCTTGTATGAACATTCTTGACAAACATGGGCATATCTACGTGTGGATGCATTACATTGCTCTCCTTTGTTGTATGCGAAACACACACGTTGGGTACGAAAAGGATTCTTTTTTCCATAGAACTGATTGGTTTGTTTGTGTTGGGATTTACACCCCATAGCTGCTGCTTTTAACCTAAGATCATTAATGGGTTATTCCCAGGAAAGATGAGAGGACTCCCTCAACCTGCGAAAGGTTTCGTCATAGCTTCTCCAAGCTTCATCCACATGCATTCTGCCACTTTCTCTAATAGTATGGCAATACTTAAAAAGGTGGCATGTATCATTGGGATTCTTTTGTAGGTAAATGCATGCAAAGGTGAAAAATGCATCCGTTCATTGGTTAATGGTTAGGGGAGATTTTTGTTTTTGAGTGAGTTCCACATCAATTTTGCCAGTTTAAATTGTTTTGGAAAGAGGGTCTTCAGGTTTGTTAGAAAGCAAATTTTTATCTCAATAAATTCATTACACCAAATCTTACTTTTAATGTTTGATGATAAGGTTGCCCCTAATGGTATACTATCTGTATTGTAATAGGGGTAATAGTGTGTGCTGACTCACCTCGCATAAAAATAACAAATAAAACTGTGTTACATGTAACATTGTCAGAGTTTTCAGGTGTTGCTTTGGAAGCGTCGGCGGATTGATCGTTGGAGACAGGTACACTGGACGGGACTGCAACTGAGGAACCACTTTCTTTAGCTGCGTTGGTTGGAGTCTGAGATCCTTCCGGATTTTGCGTGGCAGTTTGATTGGCATTGCTTGGTATGATGGTGTTCACTGTGTCTTGAGTGACAGCCGAGACTGCAGACTGGGATGCCCTCACACTGTCCTGTTCCCTCACGATATGTTTTGCCAGTTCCTCATAGTTAATTGCGGAGGAAAAGGCATTTAAGGTCATCGGTGGGTCCGCGTCTCTTTCCTTATCCTACGACAGAGTACGCCTCACTGTAACAGCTGTTTTCCTTTCAGATCTTGTGGCGTCCGTTGTCGCCTTGCGATTTACAGCTGGATTGCCTCTTGGCATCTTTGCTAAAACAGAACAACACTTTTCATAGTTAATTGTATAGATGCGAGGGGTGATAAAAAAGTTCGCGAACTAATTAAATAACTACCAAAAAAGAAATGATATAAGGTTTCAGTGTTGAAAATATGTGAAAGTAGTCCTCTCCGATTTTAATGCGCATCAACAACCATTCTGTCCATGCCAGGATTACGTGATATGGGCAGTCACGTGACATGCTCCTTAGCGTTCTGTCACAGAATCTTAAATTTTTTCCGACTCATATTTCTTACCAAGCAGGTTATTTTTTTCCAACAAAAATAGTCCATTTTTCAGAAATGGCCTAATCTCGGCAATAGTATGGGTGAATAATGATATCCTTTTGCAGAATGAGCATGGTGACCATCAAATCCCAAGTCCTCTGTTTTTGAGCGTCGCTTATTTCATGTGTATAAAGTATTGGTGACTTCACTTTATCATTATTGATATGTTTAAAGTCTAAATCAAATGACATTCTAGGGATTTGATAATTATATTATTGTTAAGCTATTTATCTATTTTTCTAACTGTAAGTCTAGATAACTGTAAGCGATCTTTCATATCAAATTGGTAAACAAAAAACATACCTCTCTTCCAGTTTGCTTTCACTGGGCAACAGAACAATCATCATTTTTAAACATCTCCCTTCCGTCACTTAAACAAACAATCCAATTAATGACAAAACTTCTGGCAAGTCTTTTGTCTTCATAAACCGTATACAAATTATTATAAATTTCTACAAAGGAATTTCCAAGATACATGTTTAACTTTATAGCCGTTCGTTTCTCGAATAAGACTGATTCAACCATTTTTGTCACAAGTGATCTACCTTATAACATCATTTTCATATTGTGACGTCACAAACACAGGGAAGAACGTTCCATTACATGTACTATTTATAGAACATGCATATGACGTTATGTGTGCTATTTTTTCATTCCGGTCTGAATTGTGGTTTTGTAAATATAGAGATAGTTCGCAAACTTTTTGATCACCCCAAGTATATACAGTAAAATTTGTCCAATCCGGACTCTGAGTACTCCGGATTTTTGTCCATTCCGTCTATAAATTTTAGTCCCATGCACTTCTTTAACAAATTCATTAGAAAAAATTCTGTGTAATCCGGATACTGTCTATTGTGTATTCCGAACGGCCATACTGGCCCCAACTGCTCATAATTAACGGTAATCATTCCTTCTAATCCGGCCACACCTGAGTTACTTCAAAGCAATTAACACCTTTCGTGGTGGATGTGATAATCCGTGTTTACATTAGCATAATTAGTGCCATGAGACAAACTCAGTGAAATGCGGCGGTGACACAGCCCACTTGAAAAAATAGTATAAGATTAAATTACAATTTTAAAAAAATTTAACTCGTTTTAACTCCTTTTACCACATTATAACATAAACACAAAAAATATATGTACGCGATTTACAAATCAAAATACAAATCGGGATCGAAAATCGAACGCATTTCAAAATGGCGCCATAACACTGTGGGGGAAGACGTAATTTTTTACATAAAAATTAAAAGTTCAATCCAATAACTAGCACATCGTAAATAATTGTGCATTACTGTTTATACATTGAATGAGCTCTTTGACAAGCGAAGTCCGGTCCGCATGATATATAGTAGGCCTACATTATGCGTGCCTGTAGATTTTGACTTAGGTAACATTTCACCCGACTCTTAAACTTCGTGAATAAATAAGGAAATACAGTAAGTCATGTGAGAATATTTTATAATTTCTAGACTCCAAAATATTGATTGATTTTATCATTTAATTCTATTTATAATATGTATATGATGTACTTGTAAATAAACAACAAAATTTTCAAAATTGATATTTTCCTGCATTTTTCCTGCACTCCGGATTCTGTCTAAACCGGCCAAATTTTATGGAACCACCGGTAGCCGGTTTGGACAAATTATACTGTACATATACTGAAGAGTCATTTAGGTTGTGCAGTTCTTAAATAAAATGTTGATTTTGGGAACAAAAGTAATATAAATCTATGTTATTCAACCAGCTATATATCAGAAACTGCAACTGACCCTTGAAGAGTAAAACTTTCACCATGTTTATTAAATGATAGAATATAACTAACCTATATATAACTGAAATACAATATACATATGCCCATATACATATCGTTTTAGCCAGACGGAGAGACTTGAAATGCACCACAAATAATATCTTTAAATTACATAATACGCTGAAACCTTTAACTTTAAGTTAAGTTAGTATATTTTAATTATACTGACTACTTATTGAATGAAACAAACTGTTAAAATATTATACTTAATATTTCCAAAGAAAACTGTTGGAACATTATACTTAATGTTCCTGAAACATTATACTAAATGTTTCAAAAGAAAAAAACTGTCGAAGCATTATACTGAATGTCCCTGAAACATTATACTGAATGTTTCAAAAGAAAAACTGTTAGGACGTTATACTGAATGTTCCTGAAACATTTTAGTAAATGTATCAAAAGAAAAACTGTTTGAACATTATACTGAATGTTCCTGAAACATTTTAAAGAATGTTTTCAAATAAAAAGTTTTTGAAGCATTATACTGAATGCTTCCAAAGGAAAAACTGTCAAAACATTATACTGAATATTTCCAAAAAAACCTGGTAAAACAATAAACAGAATGTATTTTGAATCAAACATTTGAAAAAGTACTGAATATTCTATCAATATATAAGATTCCCAAGTAAAATGTTGAAACATTATGCTAAATGTTTCTGAACAACAATCTGCTAAAACATTTGAAATGAAATGTTACACATGTACTACATGTAACAGCCACCATGTCATACAGATAATCTATAATAATCTATAATATTAACTGAAATAGTTATGTCCATTACAGCAACTAAAACAACTGCTCTGGATGTTTACGACATATAAATTGAGTTTAACCATAAAATTGTGTCCAACGATAGGAAA